CATTCAGAATTCTGACCTTTTTCTTAGAATTATGAGACTTGATTCAGTATTCTAAAAAAGAAGTCAGAATTCTAATATTAAAATCAGAATTCTGAGATTAAAAACTCTAAACTAATGTTTAGAGTAGTATTTAGTACATTTATACGGAAGGAAGGGGATTAGGGCCATTGAAAAAAAAAGTTAATTGATTATTAAATATTATTTCAGTTTAATATGGGAAAAAAGTCAGAATTCTGACTTTAATCTCAGAATTCTGACTCTAATCTTAGAGTTGTTTGGAAGATCCAGTAACGCATTGGTGGAAAAGGACGGGATTATGCAACTTTTCATTTCCGGAGGTGTCCCTCTGTGATGCTATTTCATTAATGGAAGAGCATAAGGTCATTAAAACAAGAGAGCTTGTTTAGTATCTAAAACAGACATGGCTACGGCTTGTTGCTAACATGTTTGTTAGCTGTCAAAAAATTGTCGGAATTCTGAGATTAAAGTCAAAATTTTGAGATTAAAGCCAGAATTCTGACATTAAAGTCAGAAATCTGATTTATTTTTTTCTCATATTATACTGACATAAAATTTAAAAATCAGTTATGGTAACAAAGGTTAACCATACACATTTGAAAAAGCTATCCCATGTTAGTTTTAAATGTAATTGTCTCACAGTAATTTCATGCATTGGATTAACACCAAAAAATGCATGGTTCTGATGAAACTGTATTCATATTCAACTTGCTCTATTTTGATAAACCTGAATAAAATAAATCTGAACCAATGCCATTTAGATGATTATTGATCGATTAATTGAATTTATTTTTGACTTTATTGTAAAATTTTACCCCATTTAACAATATCACACCACATTTTCCATTATTCTCTTAGTGATTTGCAGAGGTTTTATTTCCCAAAAAGATGGTTTGAAAGTATGTCCCTAAAGTTTTTGGTTTATTTAATCACATGTTCTGTTTGGGAGATTAGAGCAAATAAAGGAAGAAGAAATATCTTCCCTGCTGGTATATGCACAACACAACCAGTTCTTGTGCGAGATTGCACTTTTCTCAGTCGTTTCTACCTTTTCTACAATCACACTCTACACACAATTCTAAAAACATATTCACAATCTTTAAAACTACTTAATTCTCCTGTAAAATCAAACTTTACTTTCAAAACAAACAACACAATGTTGTACATGGTGCTAGAGTTTGGAAGAAGGTGAGAAGATAAGTGGAAACAGCAGAGAGGATCATGGGGGCTCCTCTTCCGTCCATAAAAGACATTTCATCACATCTCTGCGTATCCCAAGTCCATAACATAATCAGCAACCCCTCACTTCCCAACCATGGACTGTTCTCCCTGCTGCCCTCTGGGAGGAGGCTTCGCAGCATCCGATGCAGGTCCAGCAGATTCTGAATCAGCTTCTTTCACACCGCCATCAGACAGCTGAACTGTTGAAAAAACTCTAAATCATGTCACAGACTCTGCATCAAACCAACCATATCAGTACGATTTTTTGCACCATGTTTTTTCTCCCGCAATGTTAACAACTGATCACCGCTGCACTTTAAGAAAATGGAAATGTCATGTGCTGTACAAAATGAAATAAAGTTTGTCTAAGTCTGTATAATGAGCCTGTGTAAGAAGCTCTATGTTTTCAATCTTGGCCTCGGTTGCACTTAAAGAGATTGCTTCACCTTTTTTTTGCTCCAGCTCTGACTGCTGACTGTAAAAATCTGTTGCAGCTGTTTGTCCTTTTGATGAGTCACCTCTAAAGTAAAACAAATTGTCAATATAATTTCAAATTATTGTGTTTTTAGTAAAAACAAGACATTTTCTTCATGTAAATTCGGTTAAAACTATGAGAATTGTGTGTCGTGTTCTGAAAAAAACAGACAACAACTAGCGTGAAGATTGGGGATTGCTTTTGCAATTCAGCAGATCCGATTTAAAGGGTTGGTGCATGAGTTACATGTGATGGTCATGTGCCCAAAGCACCGGTTTGTGTTACTTAACAGTTAAGAAAAACTGTAAGCTCCCTTAATGTTGCTCTTTGCTGCATCCTTTGAGAAGCAACACAAGAAAAATACAAGCAGAACAGCCGACCCGCATACAGTACCATGTTTATCAGCCTCACTACAATTAATAGTAGCTGTTAGGTCAAAAAGAAAAGAATTTAAAGGATTTAAAGCAAAGCTAGCATTCTAACATTAGTACAAATATAGCAGCCAGTGTATATAACCAAAGAATTAAGTGGATTGTTAATTTAAATGGCTATTTTTCTCTTACAATCCGTCTAAAAAAAATGGGAGCTGGTTTACCATAAAATAAGCCCTTTTTCTTTTTTTTTAGTTTTTACAATATTTCTCACTAAACAAAGCTTTTACTGAAGAATATATGAAGGGTAATCGTTACTATAAAATCATCGTGCTGCATTGGATGCAACTTTATATGAAGCAGGCACAAATCTCATTCAGGGGAGCAGAAGCGTCCGGCGAAGAGGATGCTCAGAGTGGGGTTATGGCGGATGAAGAAGAGGAAAGGGTGGTCAGCATAGAAAGATGCTGAATCTGAAAAACCATAGTATATTCCTTCTGCATTGGAAGCAGCAGCAGCCTCAGTTCCCTCCTCGTTGACCTCCACAAAAGCCTTGTGGGAGACTTTGGACAGGAAGAGCTCCTTGTTACCAGACATTCCTGTCCAGGATGAGACAAGAAATTCATTTTAATACAAACCATATATGCATTAATGCATAGTAAATATCTGAGAATATTCATTTGTGAGTCCTGTTATGTGACTAAAATCCACCTTAAAGTCGTAGGGAAATCATATTTAAGTTTTAAATCATTCGGCTGAACATGTATCAGACGATTTTGTCCCAAAAGTTTGAAAATTTCTATAAGAAAAAAAAAATCCTGTCTTAAAATCTGTGTTTTTTTCCCCCCGTTATTTTTATGCAGGCCAGTTAGTTATACGTCAGCTTGTACACCTAAATTCGGCCAATCATATATCAATGGTCATCTGTCAATCAAATTATTTCGGTAATCGGATCTTGATTGGTGCATATGTTGCAGCTAATATACGCGACGGTTGAAATAAGGTTAAAGGAATAGTACACCCAAAAC